TGTTTTTATAAAATACAATTGAAAAATGTCCCGATTTAAATACTGTGCTTGAACTTTGCGCGGGTCAGTTTTTCCGAAAATTTCGAATTGTTTATTCCCGAATTTCAAAACAATTTATATAAAATTCTATAAACGTTGATTTGATCCCGGGCCAAGATAAGTCGAATCTGAAATAAATCGTCGAAAAAACGTCCATTGTTCGAGACAATGTTATGGGAAATGAATTTTGCAAATTGCACGTCTTCCAATTAGTTGTCGGAATTCCGGCGACTTATAATTTTTATTTATAACAGGCGGAAATATAATTTCATTTAAAAACAGGTTTTTTTTTCATTTGAATAAAAATATATTGCCAAATTATGAGACGCCGCCATACATACAAACCTTGTCTGTCTTATAGTGCGTCGTAAATTGGAAGGTCGAAAAAAATGTCAATCTGTGTAGGTCAATGGGTCAAGCATTCGATTGTTGAAAGTTGATCGTGTATGTAAATATTTTGGTGTGTCCTTACCGTTTTATTAAAACGAAAACGATGGGTTTGGACACTTAATTAGGTCTCGTCACAAAGAAACCTAAATAAAATTATAATCGGTCATTTGCAACGATAACGTTAGTTGGCCTGAAAAATTATCACAATATCCTGATTAACGCTGATATTAAAGATATTCCTATCAATATTGATCTCAAACCGCCCGTAAAGAGAATAGTTGATGCAAGTTTTTGTAAAGTTAGACAAACGCATGTAAAATGTAGTTCAAAGAACTTCATACATAAATTAAAAGTTGGAAGAGACAGACGGACATTCTGTTAATTCGTTACGGGGGCTTAATTAAATTATGTCTCTTCGTAAAGAAAGTAAACGACTGGAATGAAATATTAATTTACTTACGAACGATTTCACTATCGAACAGACCGTAATGACAGTGTAAATATTTTCATTTTTTTTTATAGAACATCAATTAATTATTGGACGTAAACAATGGCACGTTGATTAAGAAAGATGTTTTTTCAACATTAATCTCTATTAGCAACACTACCAGCATATTTCGCATGCATTCGAGCGAACTTCGCAGATACGGCCATAAAGTTGCCATTGTTTCGACTTTTTTTTAACAGAGTTGTCAGAATTAATGTCGGCTAGTGGATCCGCTTTACCGTCTAGTGAGCTTTACGAAAATAAGGACGATTTTATGTAGTATATCAGGCTGCCTCATCAGAGAAAATAAATACTAATTTAGATGAAATACTTTTCAAAACTTGATAAAAGGCAGTTTATACACTTCAAATAAAATCAGACTTTCAAAAAGCAGTCTGTCAAAATTTGCATTTTTGCAAATAAAGAAATAATTTTAATGTTTTATATCATTGACAATAAATGTGAAAAGAATTGTACAAATTGGACACTAATTTTAGAGCTGGATTACTTAGACATTTTGCATAAAAACCTTTATCTCAATTCATAAAAACATGGACAAACTGCATTTTGAAAGTCTGCTCCTCAATTAAGCTTAATTTTACATTTTTAAAAGAACTTCAGAAACTTATAAACTTAAAACCTATGACAAATTCACAAATGTTTTCCTATAAATTGTAAAGAATTTTCGGTTTTCAAAATTGATATACAGTGGATTAATACAAATTGATCCACAATGAATGAATGAGTCTATTGGCAATCCTGACTCTAATTTTTAAAGCTTACCATGGGAGTGCGCAAAAGATTAACAACAATTCAACAATCTTAAAGAGTTGTACGTCAACTCTTTGTCAGGCAAAACCGTGTCCGGTTGCAGTGTTTCAAATTATTAACAAAAATTCTTTCAAATTTGTTACCAACAGACTCAGTCTTTCTGGATCACTTCGTATTACAATACATTTTAATATCAAATCGGTGTAATATTACTGAAGTGCAAAATTGAGACTAATTTCGTTTGGTAAAATTTTATTGATTTCATTTATCTATCGTTAAAAAATAGATTCTGAAAGATATTGTGATATCTATTAGGGGCCACTTTAGGTCTATAACTTTACTGATTATTTTATTATCTAACAAGGAATTGATTCGAGGGTTTAATAATTTTTTCATTGTGCATCGTGTAACACCGAAGTGAATTGGTATAAAATACAACAGTGAAAATCGACTGGTTTTTATAAATCTTCTTGTAAGTTTACGTTCCTTACTTTTAAAGCAAAATATTATGAATTTTTTAATTATATGGAAATCCTTAATTAACGACAAAATTCTAAACGCTATCGTTTTTTTTGCGAGGTTCGCGAAATCGTCGACACGTCTCAATTGTTTTTTCTCTTTTTTTATTTTTTCGGTGCGAATGTCATAAAGGGTGACAACGGGACGTTAGCGTGGGCGTAATGGATTTGGAACCCCTTCACCCTTTCATCGGACTCCCTCTAATCGGGGCGCACAAACAGCGTAATTTATTCTCGGTCAGAGAGTGTAAAAACAAGCCCGAAACATGCGTCAGAAATGGATTTTATTGTCACGATTTCGTGATAGGAACCAATTAAAAAGACAAATGCCCTTCCGACATGCAATAACAACTTTCGGGAAGATTAAAGGGGTGTTAATTAAACTTGTTGTTGATTGTGTCACCCCCGCGGTCTTTCTTTTTGATATATACTTTTGCCTTAGCATTAAATGCAACAACCGCGAGGAGAAATATAAAATGCAGCAGGTCTTTTGTCTCCTTGGAATTGGTCGTTAAGTGTGGAGCAGTTAAGGTTAATGAATAGGAAAACGTGCAGATCGCGACGGAGTTTATGGTGTTAATACTATAATGGAAAAGTATATCCTTTAATTAAAAAAAGTACATTACAATTTAATGTTTTTAATGCTCATTGCAAACAGTCAAGGTTTTACATTACATACTAAGTAATTCAAATTATAAGAGTGGATGTAACGATGCACTCGTACTAATTAAAAATACATAAATTTAACTTTAAAATACTGCTGGAAGTTGTCAAATTGTGAATTTTTTTTTTCCTGTCGGTAATTAACAGACTCCACCCTTGTTCGGGTTCATTTACCTTTTTTTATACCAATATTTCACGTAATGCTAATCTCTGTTCAGTAATTCGACGCTAACGAGAAGGAAGAGATCGATGTCATAACACTCACAACATTCAAGAAAAGACTAAAGAAATTGCAATTACGACAAGACAGTCACGTACACTCCATCTCGAGTTCGTTTTGACTGTTTTTGAGCCTTTCCAAGTGGCGATCAAATATTTATGTTGGCATTAAATCGGGAAATAATGGACAAGGCGCGAGACGGTAAAAAATCGTAGCGAAATAATAAAAAGAAGCAATTTTTTGCCTTCTCGCGATTACCGTAATGTATGGAAGCCGTTCTGTTGCGTTCAATGGCAACAGCTATTAGACTCGTTATTGATTGCAGATGTCAACCGAAATGATGGTCCTTAAGTCCAGCTATCGTTGGGGTGATTTTCGCTCCGTTTCTTTGTTCCGGGGATCTTGTAACACTTTCGGATACAGATCCTCGGTTTTGAGCTATTAGTAGTGAATTTTTCAAAGCACGTCGGTTGGGTTGGTGGAGGTGGTTGTGTATCTCCTTACCTACCGTAACATTAATATTGTAATCAAGAATCAAGGAAGCGGAGAGAAAAAAAAATAAACAAGTGAAGAAAGATCGGCTTATTATCAATCTGAGTCATTTCTCATTTTACCAGGTAGCAAACAGCTGACCAATCAGCTGTTTCGGTACCGATCGGCAATATTCGGTCTTTGTTGTTAGGCCGACTGCGGAGACCGGCAGCCGCCGGCTCGAAAACAGTTGAATGCCGGCAAACGAGTGGGAATGTGGTGGAGATAGTAGTTGTGTCGATCCTGAGTACCGGCAAACACTTGCAATAATTTTTTTTTTTATTTCGTTATTTTTTCACCGAAAATGGCCGATTTTTCGTGTGATACCTCGTCTGCGATATTTTCATAATCGATAACAATCATTGGTGAGTAAATTTACTAATATGTCAAATACCGAATCTTCTCATTTTTCACTAATTCATTCAAGTAAATGGGTTTTCACACCGGGTTGAAGATAATTATTAACGTAACGTAATGGCTGCACTTAGTGACAGTGGTATGAATTGGGCTAATTCAGGGTTGCGGCTGGTTCGGGAAATGAGGGCTGACTTTTGTTTCGGTAAAATGAAACAAAATTCCTAATTAAGCCCGAATTACGAAATGCCCATTATAGAGGCTATTGCCTTCAGGACGGACTTGGCGATAAGATAAGATAAACCGATTTTAGCACTACATATGAATTACTAATGTTTAAAAAATTTATACATACAGGAGGCTGTAAAACGAAATAGCCAGGCCGATATAAATTAAATTCACCCTCTCTCACAACGTAAATCGAGGAACTTTTATTATCCGGTTTTGTGGATGTACAGTTAGAAATTGTCCATTGTGTGCGGATCTATTCGATAGCGACATGAACGCAACCGCATTTTAATGTAAATTTGTCCGTACGTGTAATTACACGTATTTATTATTTATTACATAGAACATTGCGACATTTTCATCACGTTCGAAGTGGTGGGCAGTCGATGTCCCTGTTTCGTCGGGAAAGTTCAACGATCCTTTTTCTCTTTCCTAAACCAAGAAGAAAACACACAAAAAAAAAAGAAAATCCAATTTTTCTATATAAAGAAGCAACAACAGAAGAGAGATCGTACGGTTCTCTATTAAAATTCTCAAATCAGGTTCTGCTACTTTGATTTTTATTTAAAAAACCATCTCGACCTGCTGTTATGACATGTTTATGGAAATTGGACGAGTTGGTGGAAGTGAAACGCAGTTTAGAAAACCGATTTTTGATAACTGTAGTAGATATGGTGTTTATCTCTGCGATTTTAATTGAGTAATTCCGATTCCAAAATCCCAGCAGACAGATCATATTTTATCGCTTAAAAATAAAAAGATTAATGGGAGTAATGTCAAGGTTTTTCTTCTTTTCCAGATCTCAGAGTCGGACATCAACGGCTTGAATTTCTTCGCCGAACTGTCAAACTACCACGTTTACACGACGCTTAACGCAAAGAACCAGTTTCGTGCCCCCACCGAGTGGGGCATCTGCTTGAGGCCTTCAGGAGTTGACACCGAAGACGAAACTCCAGATTTAAAGTGTATAGCTTGTGATTCGGAACGAGTACGGTCCTGTTGGCTGACCGCCATGAGGCTTGCCAAGGTATCACTCTTATAATTTTTCTTTTCATTACTACTAGGTATCTGCATTTTTCAACCGACACGTGTAGAGAATGTTTATTATTCTTACGTCATCTAATGTTTATAATAAATTAAACTGCCTGATGCAATTTTTCTCTAACGAACGGCAATACTCGAGGTTTTTTTTCTAAAAGGCCATTCATAATCACCCGGTTTCGTGTTTAACACGTTCGAGAAGTTTACTTTTCAGATTTGCATAAATGCGGCAAAAGTGCAGAGTTCAGGAGCAAAGCAAAGGAAAAAACTCAACTCCTCTATTCATCTTTTTTTTTTGAAGTATTTGTAAAGTAGAAAGTTTCTCACGTTTTAATTTATTTTATTCGACGAGGATATTTTAAAGGACGTGAATTAAAACGACTTCCGTTCCAGTTTTTAGTATTAATAGACCAATCAATTTTTTAAATTTATTTTCTTGTAGGGAGTGCAAGTGCAGCTTGCACCGTGTTTAAATGGTTTTTTAGTCGCCGTTTTTAAAACGTTGCCAGCCATAAACACGTCCATCCTAAAATAGAGACTCATCAAAAGCACATTTAAAAAAGTTGTAAAAACAGACGTCTTGTATGTTCTTTATGACCTTGTCTGTTATAACTGTTTTTCTATTTTTCATTTCGTATTGTTTCAGTATGGAAAACAATTACGTGAAAACTACAGAGCCTTCAAAAACAAACAAACGGAGTCCATCAATCCAAAAGACTACAACAGCTACACTGTACCTAATGTAAGTACATACATACAATACATGGATGCATCAATACCAAACTTTGTTAGACAAACAAGGAGAAAAGATAACAGACCACACTATTTTCTTTTACTTAAATGTGAAACTATATCAGAGAGTTAATAATCGAAAGGCGAGAATAAAATTGCGCCCCTGGACTCGCCAAGCCTTGTCCTGAAACGAGCTTTTCAGCTTCTCTTAATTGTGCTGCTTTTCAAAATAATAATAAAGAAAAAAGATCCGAAGCGTGACCTATCTGCAACCTCGAGGCACTTCTTAAAAATTAAAATTCGCTAACGAATTCTCGGTCTCAGTCTTTAGAAACGACGATGAGTGAAGGGGGTAAAAAATCTGAAGGGTGTGAGGGTGATAATCTCTGAAGTTCGTCCTCTTCATTGCGGAGAATTTTTCACTAATTTTCGTAATAGAATGTCAAGTTAATTTACATTCGGTGAAAATAAGGAAATTGATTGTGTATAGGCTCTCGTTCGTTGGGATTCGCGTCTGCTACGGAAATGAAATTTAATTAGGATTTGAAGCTCTCGTTGTGATTTTACGGACAACTGAGTGCTGAAATCAGTGAAATCCATAGCGACTCGATGAATATTGAGTTGTGTAAGGATTCACTCAGGGATCAGGGATTAACTATAAAAAAAATAAGGAGCTCGTGTTAGGTCAATTAAGATTTTAAAAAAAATATGATATAACAGTCACACGATATTGATTACATTTATCTTATCAAAATAATATAAATGCGTCAAAGACCTCGTTAAACTAATTTAAACCGTTTCATTGTTGGGAAAAATGCCGCCACGAGTTAGAATTTTGAGCTGAAAAATTGCTCAATAGTTAATATGACGATTATCCAAGAGTTCGGTGCAAAAATGCAAATATTTTGATTTTATCAGTGAACGTTTCTAAGTCAAGGTTAAAAGATTTTTTAAAATTCACAGTACACACCTTTGTTATCAAAGATGACAACAAAATTTGAGTTTCGTGTTTAGGATGCGTGTCGTTATTTTTGTGAAGTGGACAATGTCAAGGCAATGCCAGTAGTGTAGGTGGAAAACTTTCGATTTTAATCGATCAGTTAAATCGCCAGACAGCCTGGGGACGAGATTTTTGTAAAAAAAAAATGAATTGTATGGAACTGATAAGGAACTTTTTTTATAGGAGTGTTATTTAGTCGTAAAAGTATAATCTCCTTCAAATAAATCACCAAAAATTCCACTTGAAATAGCTGTAATGTAATTTTTTTAATCTAGGTTTATTCTCGATGTCCAACTATGCTTTTCATTATTTTGCATTTATATCATAACATTTAAAGAAAGCCTATTTTATGCAGTTTTTTCTGTTATTTATAAGGCACTGTGTTTATATAACTATCAACGCTTTCAACTTGTCAACTATTTTTGTTTTTACAGAGAATACTTGAATATAACACTCTGTATGTTTGTTTTCTTGTATAATGTACAGAAAACAATTGAAAATGAGTCATTCTGTACAAGGGAAGAAAGTAATTGCTTTTTGAAGTCGCAATAAAACCGGCTAGTTGCGTTTGATTTTTTTTCTCTACTAGAAACAATTCCTTGAGATTATCGATGCAAATCCGGCCCCTAGCTTAGGTTTTCTCGTAAGGTTGCGTCATTTGATTCTAAGTGCCCCCAAAAATAGGGAATGACGCGTAAATAATTCACCAATCGAAAAATCAAAATCTTCGAAACTCGTCGTGTTATCCGAGAAAACACACACCATTTGTTACTTGGCTTAAATCTAGATAAATGATTTCGACGCAGCTTTTAGCATATACGATTTTTCATTCTTTTGACGAATCGTTCGATTTGTGTAATGCGTTTTTCGACACAAAGTTCCGTAGTAACATCCTGTATTTATATACATTCGTGCTCGTGGAACGAAAAGAAACAATCAAGTAGGTACTTAATAATGSGTAATACGGATGGGTGTATTCGTTTTTAGCCATCTGCTCTTGTTGCTATGCGAATTTCGTATACGTACGTGTGTGCTTGCTTGCATCTGTTTATTGCATTTTATCCTGATGGGTTTACTTTTGAGGCGTCACGTACTCCCCTGGTTACTACTTGCACATAGCAACAATACCCATCCTGCTGTATGTCAAGTTACTAAACTCGACGAAAACGTCGTCCTTGTCGCTCCTGCCAAATCCATATTAATTATTCTATCATATGGAGTGGCAACAGGGACGAACTAAACCGATTTATCAATCGAGGTCGCGTCTTTTCCAAAAATTCGTTCGTTTCACAATAGAAACGATATTGTTGATAGATTTGTTACTATAGGATGATATTTCAATCGGGAAAACATTCGTTTTAATTACCGTGATCTCGCGAGATTAAGAACTCTCGTCTGGGGTTGTTCGAGGGTGGATATACACACGACGCTTGATTAGATTACTCGCGGATGTTTTTTTCAATCTAAACGGATTTTTCTACCCGCACCTAACATTAATAACCCCACCGAGGAACTTCCTGACGTTTAAGGGAGCGTCGAATTTCCTGTTTAGTTTTTTACACAAAGACCGTCGACTCGAATCGATAAAAATTTCAAAATAGAAAATTATTACAGAAGCGGACTGAGTGAAAATGGATAACCAGCCGTTTTCCAGGTCATAACAATACGTTTCACTCAACTTTCTGTAAGACACATAACGCTTTCTCCTAATCAAATTTTAAAAACGGTTCGAAAACAACAAGGGAGGCGGAAAATGTAAAAAATGTCTTGAAATTTTTCTCCCCTCGATGCTAAAAATCAGAGTTAATTAAAATGTTGAGTCGATAGTTGAGCCAGACCGCAGGTAAATTCAATTTTGCTTCGACGGTAAGTTACACCTGTTTTAGGAGAAACCTAAAATTAAACAATACGCTCTTCCCCGCAATTATTTCTTAATAACCACCAACCAGCCAACCAACCTGCATCATAATTTTCCATTACGTAACGACGACGAATACGAATTGTGAAACGTGAGAGCGAAACTTGTAATACGGCAATTAATGCGAAAGTTGCCGACGATCTTATCCGAAATTCTATTTTCTTCATTGAGAGTTTGAGATGCGAGGGAGGATTTTCGGGACGCTTTTCGCAGCTATTCCGATTTTAATCATCCGGAAATTGAAACGATAATGTAAAATCCGGACTTGCATTCATAAAAAGCTTCAGAAACGTTAATATAAATTATTAAATTCGACCGATAACATAAGTAGAATTATTTTTGTTCCGGTAAAAAACCTCTATATAATTCAAAAAATTGAAGCTAAATACCTATTTCAAAAAAATTCATCGAGAACTGCTCAATTAAACAAGAAAATGAGATACGTACTTAGAGATTGCGTACTATCTATCAAGTCCAACTCTTAAACCTCGATATTGATAAGACCTCCGTAATGGTTTTGGAGTGGATCTATTTATATATGATAAGAACTGTAAGCCTCATTAGTTGAAGTTCATTTTTTAATAAAATAATTGAATCTATCCTCTAAAAAATTGAAACGGAATTCAAGGACGTCTTTTTAATAATTTAGAATGAAACGAGAGGCAATTACTAAGGAACAATTTTAGGAAAATTATGTAAGAGCCTCTGGTTACTCCAAGGTTATTCCTAATTGCACATGAGGTGATTCATACGAAATAATTAATTTACCATTAAATTCACGCTTTTAGCCACCGATTCCTCATCCCTCACACACATTCCCCGACGTCCTGCAATTTCGTCGATAACGTGGTCTGGCCGGCCGTTCTCTATTCTTCCGTTTTTTTTTTTTTTTTTTCATGAATGAAACAACTCTCCCCCGATCGTCAAATTTCGCGTTCTGCTTGAATTAAATCAGCCTCGGAATTCGCAATGTGACAGTTATTTGACACTTACTTTTACCCCAAAATCATCCGATTATCTTGTCATTTTCGTATGCTCTCCTCCATTCGCCATAGTGTCGGAAATGGCGACTGGAGGGAGGATACGTCCCCACCACATCTCGTCGGATATGCACTGATAACTGTTTTATCAGCGGCTGCAGCCGAAACCGCCAAGGTTCGCGATTAGAAGGTCGACCGAATCGGAGCGGCGATCTGCGGTTTTCGCTCTGCGATAGTACACACACGTGCAAATTAACCATTGTGGTAGTCGTATGGCGATTAGCAATGCAAATTTTCGTAATGTATATATGTATAGTAATTATATTCGCGCCGAGTGGTTGTTGTTTCAATGATAAAACGTCGTCATCACATGTCTGCGGTTTTCCTCAATAAGAAAAAGAATACGTGTGGCGCATTAACCTTAGCTGTCAATTAACCTAATTAATTTGTGACGTCAGCGTCTAATGTTCATTGTTTACTCACGGCAGAATGCACTGTCGAAACGTTTTCCCCCCTATTCGGATTTATGCAATATTTCTGTCTGCCGACATCGATTTCTTTGTCACATGTTTCGGATTTTTCGGCAAGTGGAAGTCCCATAATGCGGTTACGTAAGATGAGATCCAACCCACATATTCGGTATTCGCGTTCAAGGCCGCCCGGTATAAAATAAATTACTGATTTTTCGGACAGACATTTTTCCTGTGAAACAATCTCCGACATCCGAACTAACTGTCCCCTACTGTTGCAATTACTTGATGTCCCATGAAACAATTGTTACGTAAGACCGGCTGCGGGATTAAAATTTTTATGGAAATTAGCCGTATTGTGTATGGGCGGCTTGGTGGAAAAATAGTGTTCGTCTTTTGTCTGGGATAATTGCTGTCACGCCAACTCGGATACAGATTGAGGTGCCCTCCAAACGACCTCTTCTTCATAGAGACATTGCATTTCGTACCAAATCCTGAAAATTTCCCTGGTGATRAATKACCGATTTCTGTTTTTTTTTGTAGAGGAAAAATCGCCTTATATATGATCGTCTTTTGTTGTGACTGTGGTAACGATGATTTATTTACAAAACCTTCAATTTTTTACAAATTGGCAGTGGGCGGATATGAACAGATGATTTGTGTTTTTGGCCCGTCATCGCCGGAAAAAAATGCCAATCAAAACGGACACCGATTTAGATGACCTTCACGAAGGTCTCCGAAATTTAGAAAAGCTAACGTCATCGGGGAACAATCGTACGGCGGACTAAATACCTGTTTTCTATGGCTTGCTAAATAGAACAAAAATTTGTATCTAAACCAGTAAATTCCAAGGTGAATAAATCCAGGTATAGTCGCGAAAATGTTAAGGGCCTCAGTCGAGGCCAAAATTCGGCCTATTGAATTAAAATTCCAGATTGAGTGCAGGAAGAATTGCCACTTTTTCGCTTTAAATTTCCATTAAAATCGTCGCCAATTTCCTTGAGTATCAATAAAATTGGAAACGTTTCCGGTTCTGCCGGAAGTCGTCCTTTGCTTTTATTTCTCGTCGAAAAATCGCCAAGGTTAGATTTGATGTTAAACATCCGACTTGTCGATAAGTCACCAAGGTTGTACAAGTCGTTCCTTTGTTCATTTTATTTTAATTATTAATTTATTTGTTACAGGAATCTGTCAGATCGAGGGTCGCGATGGACTTTACCGGCTCCGTGGGTCGCATAGTCGAAGATCCGAAAGAAGCGAAAGCTATTGCGGTGGCGGAGGGTTATTCGTGGAAGAGGCGATGGCGGCCCCCTTGTCGTCCACCCCCGAACAGTGGCTATCCACAAGGCCTCGAATCGGGGGTGCACATAACGCAACCGTGGTTTCACAGCGGCATGAGCAGGGACCAAGCAACGGCACTAGTCACAAAACACGGAACAGTCGACGGGTAAGCAGGTTATTAATTAATAAATTGCACTACGGAGGGATGCTGTTGACGTAATTGGGGAGTTTCTTCGCGGTGACGTCAGTATCTCCCTTGTTTAAAATAAAAGAGAAAAAGAAAATGAGAAAATACAGTGTTGAGAGAGATCAAGGTTCGACGAGCCTTCAAAGCACTCTCTCTTGCCGGTTTTAATTAACGATCAAGTAAAGTATTGTTCTCGTGTTATGCATTAATTGAAATTAGTTCCACGTTTCATTTATTAAAGGAAATGAGTTATTGTTACCTTCACTGTTAACTAGATCATAATTTATTGCGGTAGGTTRTGTCACAAATAATTTTCAATTTTTCTCATTTGTTGCAGGGTGTTCTTGGTAAGGGAGAGTCGCTCGAATCCAGGGGCATTCGTTTTAACGTACAAATGCGGAGGCAAAGTGTTGCACGCCCAAATCACTCCGATCCTCGACCCCGTCCGAGAAGCTCACGTTTTCTCTCTCGATAGTGGCGTTACGAAATTCTACGATCTCTTGCAACTCGTCGAATTTTATCAATTGAACGCTGGATGTTTACCCACAAGACTCACTCATTACGTAGTACAGAATTGTTCGCCGGTAAATTCGTCAACGAATCCGACGACAAAGATGACGGTCTCGGGAAGCATTTAATAATGCATTTGACTGACTTTTCTTCAAAGTGACTTTAATTTATTTTTGATTGTTGTTTTTTCGAGTGACGTGGATGCGAACCAAAGTGAAACTGGATCGAATTTTTAACTGGTCCGCCTTGTAAAAGACACTCAAGCACTGATTTTTACCCTAGTTGTAAATTCCGAGAATTTTCCCGGACTTTGTGTTGTTGCTCCAGCGATTTTTACAGGGATGATATTTATTTTTTGTTCTTTCGTATTTATGTTTAATATGTATTTCAGTATTAAATCTCATTGATAACAGGGTGAAAAAAGAACTAGTTTGTAATATCTCTTTTTCGAAAAAAGTTAGATGAGAAAGGCTGTGGTTGTTCTGGTGTGGATTAGAAAAATATATTTGATATTTATAAAGAAATTGTTAAATTCACACCGTTTGTATAGTTTTAGGATTAGATAAAACGATTTTTTCGTTCTTTAATCAAATATCATAGGTATAATTATTAAAAACCAAAAAATATATTATTTAATTTAGGAAAGCAATATAGTAAAGAACTTCTCGTAGATGTGATATTTAGTTAAGTATTTTTTTCATTTACGCACATTAATCGTTATTTAAACGCAGTATTTTTGAAAAAAACGTGCTTTTGTCTCTACCATACATCATTAACTTTATTTATGTATTTTTTTTTCTTTTTTGTAACATTTCTTTTTCATCATCCTTGTAAGTTAAATAAAACAAAAATCACATATGTGGACATAACATTAATTAGAAATAGTACTTATGCAAACAGTGACAATTGCAGCTTGTGTTCGTTGTGACTGAACTGATTCTTTGATACCGCTCTTGTTTCTTATTCCACTTACTGTACATCCATTATTTTGTACTCTTGTAGATGACATAAACTAAATTTAACACTTAATATAAACAAGTATTTCTTTGTTACCCGATCCTTGCCTTTTACATAAAGATGTCTTTCATATTTTTTCGACATGGAAGTGTAGTAAGTCTACTATGGACAAGTTTTAGACCAAAAGACTACACAGATAGATATTGTTAGGTAATAATTATAGTTTTCTTTAGATGCACCTTTGTCAATTTTTATGATTTAAAAAAAGCGACTAATATCTACTTAACAAGCCAAATTAGTAAATTTTTGGTTCCATTTTTTGTAAATTAAAAAAATTGGCAATAAAAAAAAATAACGTAAGCTTTTTATAATATAGGTTGAATTTAAATACTTTTAATCATATACCAAATTTCACTTATAAAGTTGCGGTCAATTCAAGTGATGTAGGTATGCCACCAGCAAAACTGTTGAAAACTGCTGTGGAATCTTGTGGAAATAAACATTAGATCCGAATGTGCCTCGGTTCGAAAAACATGGACACTGAAGTACATAACCCTAGTTTTCATAAAATACTTTTTTGAGGTTAGTGCATTTAAGAAGACCTCAAAATGCCGTTTATGATAGGGCCGGCTCCTATAAGGAGAACGTTAAAATTTTTGGAAGCCGGGCGTTTAATTTTGAAAGATCAAATCAAAATTATGGCCGTACATTATCATCTTAACGGTGAAAATAATAAAGGGACAAAGTAAGTATTTTACATTTTAAATTCAAACGTTAGATTAAACTAACAATTTCAGAGAATTTGTATTTTGGTGTTTGCCACAAATACAGTACAAGAACCCCAACGTACAAATTGCGACTTTTAAAAACCTAACACCCTCACCTTTCATTAGATGTTTTTATGGTAGGTGTTCCGATTTCTACCACTTTATATAAAACAATACGTAATTTTAGATACCGGAGATGAAATGCTAATAGATGTTGATAATAAGAGCAAGGAAGAAATTTATGAACACCTTATAAGAGTGGTGGGGAAAACAAAGTAATTTTACTTATTATGAATTGGAGCTCATGTAATAATTTAACTAATTATAGGGACATACTCGAGGCTGAATCGATTTCCAAAGAAAAGAAGGATAATCCTGCAAATTTCGGTGTAGGTTGTGACAGACAATGTATTTGCGAACTCCCAGGACAAGTCCCTTGTCCCAGTATTGTACCCTTGCCTAATCACATGAGAGGCAAATTTATTTATAAAAAAGATAATTAATTATAATTTGTAAATGTTTGTACACTTTTTAGACAATTAAAAGTTAGAAACAAAATTGTTTGTATAGGTTGTATTATTCAACGGGACAAGTTACGGGTTAAAAAAAACACTGCATTGTAATATAATACAGAATATTTTAACTTTACTGGTTGGAATTATATTAATAATAAAAATGATAGAAATGTTAACTTCATAATAAAAAAAATCACACTTACCAATTCTTTGGGAAAATTATTATAAAAAGAGCAGAAAAGCAAGATTACATACAAATAGGCCACAAAAAAAATATAATAAAAGTACAACCTGCTAAGAGACCTTCCAGATCGTTAGTCGTACATAAATTATAGTAAACATACAGTCTTCATTGCACCCATCAAAAAAAATAAATGAACCATTTTATTACTAATAGAATTTTTTTTTAGTATAAAATCGTACGTCTCGCATAATCGCGCATGCAATGGAAAAATCATCAGACAAGTAAAGTAAAAACCGGTAGACGATACAACAGTTCCTATGTGTGCACTAGGCATCAGAAATCATCAGTTATGTACAAAAAAATGTGAGCGAAATTCGCCAAGACTTCAAATTGTCGAACTTTAGTCACATTACGCTAAATGTATTTATTATAATTGGACTTAGCTAGTGTTTTTTTTAGTGAGCATTTATCAGTTCACTAACATCCTCTTGGCACCGATACTACTCCATTCGGCGATTTTTGAATAGTTCCATGACTCTTTGATCTTAAAATTATTATTGCCGACCAAAACTGGAATTGTACTCTTTGAATTATTGATACTTCATAACAAAAACAAAAAGGAACTATTACAAAAATCCGCGATACATCTTCACCTTGTACAATACTTAAGAATCGGCTGGTCCATTTCCGAATTACGATCAATTTGATCTAATAACCTTGTACTATTTGCCCGTCTCCTTACTCTCCCATACTTTTTTTATTTATTTATATTTTAATCCTTTTTTTTTCTTTCACTCATCACGAACTATACTTTTAATTACACTTGATAATAAGGTTACTACCAGTTGGCCATTCCGGGCTTGTTTAACGTCATGAAGTAAATCTGGCAGCTGGAACCGCTCTTGGCGCTCGAAAAGAATACTTTATCGTTACGTTCACACAAAAACTTCAAACGTTGAGCCTTCTTGTGCATGAAGACGCCGTCCAAATGACCCGACTCGACCGAACGGATCTCGATCGCTTTATTGCCCCAACCCATTATCTGGCCTGTGCCGATGTACGCCACCGATGTGGGCATTTCGCCCCACTGCAATAAACAACATTATTCCACCTTCTTTTTCCATCACAAACAACGAAAACTCACTTGCAAAAGCATATTTTTCGATACGCGACCGTAAGTGTTCACATAAACGCCCTCATTGTCGTAACAAAGCAACAACTGCATGCCGTTACTATTCGGTAACGTTACTATACAGTGTGGAGTTATAGCACTTTGTGTCTGAAAAAATAGAAAATCACAATAACAAAAACTCGTTTAAAGTTACCACTTTAGTTAAAAAAAAGTATAAAACACTTACGTGTTTCGGTAAATAAATGTCGTAAACACTCGCGGAATCCAAATCGACAGCGTGAAAACCATCGGCACTTCCGTAAATCACTTTAAGTCTCGTGCCTTCTTCTACCGTCAAGTCTACCAAGAGTGGTCTATAAGTGAGCTCGCAGAACGATTTGAAAGCCATGAATTTATGATACGGTTTCGGTGCCCACGCGTAAATTTCAATACTGTCTTTCAACGCAATCACCAAAAACTTGATTCTTTCGTATTTAACTATTTTAAAGTGGACAGCACCTTGAAGATCACCCACGTTGATCCAACCGTTCCTCCTTTCCACTTGCTACGGTTAAAATTATCAATCAAGTAAAACAAAACAAGCCAAAATATTAAAACTCACATCACTAACTCCGTCCGTCCTGAGAATCTTATTCTTCAACCAACTGAGATAATAGACCCTAACGCGATTTTTCTTGCCGGAAATAGTTACGAGAATATTTTGGCCTTCTAACACTTCCATTTGTTGAAAACGTCGCCTGGATATCAGTTGGTAGACCTTGCCTTGACCGCTCCTATCCAATAACATCAAGCCATGTTCAGTACCGATTAAAAGGTTAACACCTAAAACTCGCAATTAAAACCTATAAAATTGCATAAGTAGGTGCAAACCGACCCCATAAAGCCGCACACAAAATCTCGCTGTTGAACCTCTTCTTGTATTTCCTAATTTCAGGCGTGTCTGATGAAATATCGTGCGAAGTTGGTGTTACATTCACGTTAACGTGTGACTCTCTCCTGCTTTGGGCAGATCCAGCCCCAAACCCAAATGTGAGGAAAGACCGTTGTTTCTGTTGCAAGGCAAGAGCGTTTACATTAAGAGGTGTTGCTGATTTATTAGGGGAAGGGGTAACGTGAGGAGACATTGCCTGGCGATACTGAAAAAGAAAATATTTCAATTTTTTCGAATCTCGACTAATTTTGGGTTATTTCTACTCAAATTCTGTTAGAAAGGTTCCGCATGCACTTACCATTCGATTAAAAAAAAATGGAACCTTGTACTACAGCAACAAAGCTGCTTGAAATAATCAAAAATACTGGCAGAAAGCCAAAAACGACGAAATTTCGTACTTATCGATGAGTCAATGTTTGTAAGCGGAATTAAAGCGTTACGATGCAACAAAAAGGGTTAGTGAACACGGACCAATGAGGCAAAATAAAATCAAAAAAATTAGTCTTTCCCGTTAGTTCCAAAAACCCAAAATTAAAATAAAAACAAAAAAGATGATTATGATAATGATATGAACGCAACTACAAACACACTACGATTAAAACGACAACAAATAGGTGCATACTTACAGTTACACTTATGTTGTTACGGACGTCACTCAGTTAGGCAAAAACCAAAGAGAAAGACATTAAAATTAGTGACGAACACCTATTTCATTATCAAATAACAAACAAATAAAATACGGCCTGTTACGAACGATTATTTTAATCAAAAAATTAGATTTTTATCTTTTCCCCACATTGTTTCATAACGTTAATGAGTCACTTTTAAATAAAAAAAATTAATTAATCCATCTTTTTTCGTAACAGCCTGTATGACATTAAATTATCCATAAAAGCCCCTGCGGTAGCCTAAATTATTCAATTCAGATAAGACGTCCTGAATTATGAAACATTTCTTGTGTGCAAAATTGAGTTTTGGGGCAAAAACAGAGTCTAACAAGTTGATGTAACGCCAATTAATTATTTAAGATTTCCTTAGCCTTACACCAACTTGTATCGGCTTAAATTTCACTCCTTTGTAATAAAAACTGGGTTACAGGGGGTTACACTTGAAAGCAATTTTATCTCATTTTTTTGTTATTGACATAACAGCGCCACACACTTAACAATGCGAAAAAATACTTTACCTCCTCGCTCTGTGACTTATCTCTAGCCGAAGGCGTGCCGGGGCTACCGCTCGCTTGACTGAGAAGATCAGGTAAAACGTTGCTTTGACGTGAGTGGTCACTACTTCTACCGTTCTAAAAAACGAAATGTTTTAACGAAAATTCGCACAAGTTTTTCAAACGCGTTTAACTAGTCTAAAACTACCAAAGAAAAAACACAAAAATGAACACAAAGAAACAAATGTACACACCCATACACACACTGATATACTTATAAAATATAAAAAAACAAAGTACTCAAGACACTAAGATGGCAACAGTTGCAGCCAGTCATGTTTGAAATCTTCATGCTATTTAATTGCACGATTCTTATCATGCTTGTCGAGGGTAATGTTAATACCCAACAAAAACCAAATCGGTTTTCCAATTCTAGAAAAAATCGAATCACTTCGTGGTTTCTTCGTGTAGATGGCGGGATTAGTCGGTCACGTTGTTAGTTGAAGCGGAATTTTTCACACAATGTTAATAACAATAAATAATTAATTAAATTATTAAATTTAGAAGAAAAATTAAACACCATGCACAGTTTTAATGTTGTTTATTTGTTAAAATTAAGCACAAACTATGTTAACAAAAGCGAATCTGAATACTGACTCAAAGCATGAATTTTCAAAACTAGTCCCTCCTCCAATACCACAACAATGACTTGTAGACAAATCTAATCCTATTCTAACTCTATTATACTTTTACAGTGCGCTAGAAGGGTACTACATTTGGACGGCCTTTTCATGGTATGTATTTTGATTTTAAAAAATTGTATAGTCTGACATCATATTTTATTAAGCACTTAGGAACAAAGAAAAAGTCTTGAACCACTATTTTGCGACTGATCTTTTTACTTAACATATGGACGTATATTTCTTAACGAGCACATAATAGTAGCTATAATTCAAGAGTATAAAGTTTATACATGAGCCAATGGCGAGTATATAAATCATCCAAGTATTAATAATAAGTCAATTACCGTTACCGCAGTGATATTTCATATTTTTAATTCTAGTCAAGTTAACTTACTCTAATTTTCTGATCTAATGACCCATTCTTTGAAATAACGCAAAATAGATAATAATGTAAAAAAAAAACCGCCCAACAATTTGTGATTTATCGTAGAGAAAACGTGAAAAAATCAGTATTCAGCCAACCACAGACGATGCGCTTGTGACTTGTTATTCTATTAAAAAGCACCCGAAAATGCGGAATAAACCAAAAATTACCTGTATGTACAAATACTCCTCGCCATCGAACGAATTACTCGTCGTCGTCGACAACGACAATGAATTAATTTCGATCGGCCTCGAATTTCTGTTCCTGATTTTCTCCACTTCTTTAGCGAATTGTGCTTCGACTTCGCGTCTACGCGCTTCTAAACTCTCTCTTACACTCTTCCTCGCGTCCGTATTCCTCAAAACAATATCCGATTCGGTCTTCTCACGTCGTGGTTTAACGAAATTACCATCGACTCTAAGTATCATTCCATAATCTTTGTTATTTTTCGGCGATTCCGTTCTCTTGACGTAATCCATCAAGATCGGTTCGCCATTTTTCTTATTCAGACCAGCCTCTGAACCGCGTCGATTATTAAAAATGCCACTCGAACGTACGTTTTTATCCGAAAAAACGGCCGAATGGCGTGAACTCAAAGGAAAAAAATCGGAATTCTCGCGCCGAAAGCCGCGAAAGAACGAATTGTTGATTTTCGAATCGCTATCCATCCGACGA